TTGGTAAAACTGATGAATATTGGAGTCATTTTCAGCCAAGAGCGGAGGCCACCTCTGGGGACAAGTGGGACGACTATTCTATCTCTGGTTGTGAGGTCACCACTGAGGCTGTTAAACAACTCCTTGGTGGCAGGGCCCCTGGGGTGGATGAGGTTTGAGTTCCTGAAGGTTTTGGATGTTGTAGGGCTGTCTTGGTTGACACACCTCTACAATGTTGCATGGAGATCAGGGGCCGTACCTCTGGATTGGCAGACCGGGGTGGTGGTTTCTATCTTTCAGAAGGGGGACTGGAGGGTGTGTTCCAACTATAGGGGGGGATCACACTCCTCAGCCTCCCTGGGAAAGTCTATGATCAGGTGCTGGAAAGTAGAGTCCGTTAATTGAACCTCGGATACAGGAAGAACAATGTGGTTTTCGTTATGGTCATGGAACACTAGACCAGCTCTTTATCCTCTCGAGGATACTTGAGGGTGTATGGTAGTTTGCCCAACCAGGCTACGTGTGTTTTGTGGACTTGGGGAAGGCATTCGACCGTGTCCTTCGGGGTGTCCTGTGGGAGGTGGCTCGGGAACATGGGGTGTCTGGCCCATTGCTATGGGCCATTTGATCCTCATACAACCATTGCAAGAGCTTGATCCGCATAGCCAGCAACAAGTCGGACTCCTTTCCGGTAGTTGATGGACTCCACCAGGGCTGCCCTTTGTCACCGATTCTGTTCATAATTTTTATGGGCTGTCATGGCTGTGTGCAGGCAGGCAGGGAGGAAGGACCCAAAATGCGGGATTCAGTGAGGCAAAGTTGAACTCAAAGTAAACAGCTTTATTTGCAGGTTGCAGATTGAACAGAGGACTAACTATACTGGGAAAATATAAACTGACAGGCAGATAAACAGGGACCGAAACACAGAGCGTAGACTGACGGTGAGTAGACATTAACAACGCGACACAGAACAAAGGAAACACAGTGCTTACATACACAGGGAAGTAAATGGAAAACATGAGGGAGACACAGCTGGGAGAGATTGGGCTAACGAGATGGGAGGCAGCTAAAACTGAACACACTGGCACCAGACACGAACCTTCAAAGTAAAACAGGAAACAAGAAACAATTTACAAGGATGCAGACAGACACTGAACTTAATCTAGAATCAATAATATAGAAATATAACAAAATATAAAAAACAGAAAAAGCTGGGTCAAAATGACCCAGAACCGTGACATGAGCAGAATTTCCAGTCGTAGCCAAGTGGCAGAAGGCTTTCACTTGGATGGTCTCAGAATCTCAACTCTGCTTCCTCGGGTGATGGGCTCCAGCTCGCAGTGGAACAGTTCGCAGCTGAGTGTGAAGTGCTGGGCACGAGAATCAGCACCTCCAAATCTGAGGTCATGGTCCTCAGCTGGAAAAGGGTGGAGTGCCCACTCCGGGTCAGGGACAAGTCCCTGCCCCAAGTGGAGGACTTTAAGTATCTCGGGGTCTTGTTCACGAGTGACTGGAGAAGGAGGCAGGAGATCAACAGATGGATTGATGCTGCGGCTGCAATGATGCGGACACTGTACCAGCCTGTCTGGTGAAGACAGAGCTGAGTGCAAAAACAAAGCTCTCAGTTTACTGGTCGATCTACGTCCTTACCCTTAACAGGCATAAGCTGTGAGTAGTGACCAAAAGAATGATAAAACCGGCGAAATTAGCTTTATCTGAAGGTTGGCTGGCCTCTCCCTTAGAGATAGGGGGAGGTGCTTCTCCACATCAAAATTGCAAAAAATTGACCAACATCTTTTAAACCAACCTCTTAAGCATATTTTATTGTAGAAACATAATTTAAAGTTTTTATGGAGCACAAGGCTTTGGATTTTTATTGACTTAATCTGTGTTTTGGTATCTTTTATGTTTTTTTTTACAAGATTAGCTTAAGTTTTATAAAGAATTATATTTTTTCAGTGGAATTTTGCCTCCATAATGTACTGACATCACCCACTGTAAATTTTGGGCCTGGAAAATAATCAGAAAAAAAATGTTTCAATGTGTTTAATCCCCAAACCTGTCATGGTCCCTGGGTCTCCCTGGCTGGTTCACACAGGAGCCACATGTTTTGTTATTGTTTTGTCTCTCTCGCTCTTTCTTTCCTGCCTCTTTTCCGCCAGGGGGGAACTTGTTATGGGTTCCTGCCTTTGGCCCACGCACCTGCAATCAATGACTCACCTGCTGCTCATTATCCTGTCTCTTGGACCACTACTTAAGGCGGTGGCTTGGTGCTTCTTACCACTGAATCATTGTGCAGCCTGTGTTAGTGTGACTGGCTTATCCAGCTCTTGCGTTTTATGTGATTTCCTAGCGTTGTAGTAATTGTCTGTTTCCTGCACATAGATTCCTTGGACCTGTGTGGTGTGGAGTGACTGAAAAGGACCCTAGCGTGTTTGCAGCGTTTGAGTCTGGTGTGGCCTTCCTTCCTCCCCGTGGATCCCTGGAAGCCTTAGCCCCTCACATTGTATATATCAGCCGGTCTTTGTAAATAAACTTTTGTGAGCTGTATTCAACTCTCAGAGTCCGTTCAATCTCTATGACAAAACCTTTTCATCTACATGCATAATAAATACTTCAAAAGAAACCTCTTTCATCTGGTGTTAGATGTAATAGGATTTACAGTTCTGTCATGAATGCCAGAAAAGCTCAGCCTCACTCATAAAGAATCGGTATAAAACATAAGTGTTGATATTATTACAGCTGAATATCAGAACCACAAGCTGTCTTAACACTGTGACAACACCCATATAATACACAATTTAAATGTGATACTTTAGCATTTTGTACATGAAAAGTTTTTGTCCCTCATGGTGAAAGACGTTTTTCAGCGTGAGGTAGTTTTCTCTTGGTAAGCTTTTGGTAAAGAGTGAAATCCTTATCTCTATATTACCTACACCCTCCTTTTTCTCTGTGTTCCTCCCTGATGATGTTTGGGGTTTTTTAAACATCTCATATCCTTATCGTACTTCTAGTCACCACAGAAAGCCATCCAACCCACATGGTCACATCATCCTTTCTCTTTCATAGTCTTAAACTCATCATGGCTGATCCTGTGGAGGT